GGGGGTTGGGATTTCAGGAGATGGAGGTAAGAGACCAATCGGTAACAGCGAAGAGGCAGTGGGCAATTTTACTTAACATGAAGGAGAGAACGCATGGAGATGATTTAGAAGTTCGATCTAGCATGGCAAGGCGCTAAATTCTGGTGCATGTTAAATAATAAAAGAGACCGAACTGATCGTAACATAGTCACAAAATAACAATAGTGGCGAATAGTATATATATATATATATATATATATATGGAGCCCATCCAAAAGTGTCCACATTCTTTATTAGGAGAAAGCGGTTATGTGTAATCATAATTCCCTAAAGGGAAATATATATATATATATTTGGCTATAGGTGATCAACTCGAAAATAATCTTCTGAGCTTAAATCAAAGCAATTTCTTACTGAATATTAATGAATCCGAATATCGTCATGCCTTTTAAAAAAACTCAAACGCCAAGATCATAAAAGCTTAATTTAAATAGAAGCAAATTTAAATTCAAGTTATAAAGTACTTTTACATCTGTGTCTGGTTGATATATTCTATTTATTAGATATGGAGTTGGGAAATTTATAGTAAATTGTGGTCGTGAACTATGTCCAAATGGGCTCCAGTATGCCCTTGCACTGTTCAAGCATATACATGTATAAATTGAATAATAAAGATATGCATATAATTTATATCATCTAATTATATTAGTCTCTTCTTTTACAAAATGGGCAGAACATAAAACTAATTATCTGGTATTCATTGGAAGGTTTAAGGAAGAAGTTTAATTGCGAAATGCCCATTTTTCTAAATTGCAAGAAATGCGTCAAAGAGCTGAATTTGAACAAATTACCAGTGTGGACCTGCTTGAACAAACGAACCTGCAAAATTCTATGAAAGTTCGCTTTCTCATTAAAGCATATTCATCGATGTGGGGTACGCGATATACTTACCTCCACGTGGTGCACCCTGGGCAACGTATACTCATACAACAAAAAAGTATTTATCGGCAGTTGACTTCTGACTTCAAACTACCATCACCCCACTGTATGCCATATTCGACTACTTTCACAATACCCAATTATTCCCTTTTCTACTTTTGTGTCTGTCTCTTTTACATCCTTGAAACACCCTTCTGTGCCCCCCCCCTCTCGACTTTTTTCACTTTGATGTTCCCTCCCCTCTATGAAGCCTGAAGTCAATTAAAGGGCTAATGAAAACTATCAAATATTCATCGATGTTATTATTGCCTATGCTTCACATAAAACTTAGCATACGATATAAATGAGGGCGGAGGAATTATGCCTCAAGCGAACTAAGTAGTTCCTCTTCCGCAAGGTCAGTATTTTGAACATCAATCTTCAAAGTTTGTGAATTGAAATAAACCAAATTATAATAGAACTATGAATATATATATATATATATATATATATATCCGTTCTCCATTTTGATCTCATCATTGAGAAAGAATTGAGCTCGCATGTGATGCGTTCAACTACAGCATGCGCAGAAGATAGCAGTTGCTCTGGCTAGAATTTCAGAGTTAATATGGCACATTAACCAGCTTCAGGGGTTCATTTATTGTCCAGAATAACAAGACATATTTTCTTCGGAACAATAGAACAAAATTGGCTGAAGATAAGCCTCTGAGATCTATGCTCGTCAAATAGTGAAAAGCAAAAATTGCCCGAAAACCGATTAAAATTATAGGCGCATGCAGTATTAAGTTAATTTGCGCTAGCTATCTCTAGCTATTGATCAATCAGTAAAGTTTGATTGAACGCTTTTTCCCCACATAAACAACCTCTCAGTATTTGTAACATTTTCGTTGATGTATACTTTGAGAGTACTTGCAACTTTGGAGTTCATACGAACTCGAAAATTAGAATCGCTATTGTACTTGTGCTGGGTCAAGTGGTCAGTGGTGTCCATAGTTAGACGATATTATAGCCTCGGTGTTGCATAATGTCATTGTAAAATAATAAACCTATTTTCTGTGTTTCATAATGTTCCAAAATCGAATGTGCGGGGAAGTAATAACGAATTATTTATGCAAGGAGATAGTCATATTATAATTATCATTTTAGTATTCCTTCTGTTTGACGTAATTTATTGGGTGGGCAACTAAGTCATTGCCGATTTCAAATAAGAAGGCAAATTCGGAATTTTTGTTTAAAAATATAACTTTATTCAATTAGATATTGGCCGTTCTTGTCGATGACCTTTTTCCATCGTTCTGGCAGAGTAAAAATTCCCCGTTCGTAAAATGGCTGGTCTTTGCTATTAAAAAACTGAATTAGGTGTGATCCGACATCATCCGCGATGTTAAAAATTTTACCATTTAAAGAGTTTTGCATGGAACGAAACAAATGGTAATCCGAAGGCGCAAGGTCAGGGCTATATGGTGGGTGTGACAAAACATCCCAACCTAGTTCCAATAATTTTTGCCGAGTAACCAAAGATGTGTGGAAAACAACACCCTACCGATTTGATAATGCCGGCCGCTTATCTTCAATTGCATCCTTCAGTTTTTCGAGTTGTTCAACATACACATTTGAATTTATCGTTTGGTTCTGCGGCATGAGTTCAAAATACAAAATTCCTTTGTGATCCCACCAGACTGACAGCATAATCTTTTTTTGGTGAATCTCTGCCTTTGATACTGTTTGGGCTGGTTGATCTTGCTTCACCCATGATCTCTTGCGAGTAACATTCTTATAAACTATCCACTTTTCGTCGCCAGTAACTAGGTTCTTCAGAAATGGATCATTCTCATTGCGTTTCAGTAGCGAATCACAGATGCTAATCCGTTGCGTCAAATGAATTTCCTTTAGCTGGTGAGGGATCCATAAATCAAGTTTCTTGACAAAACCAAGGGTTTTTCATTTTTTTCAATGCATGTATGCGACACATTGAGCTTCTCTGCAATATCTCGTGTTGTGCTGTGACGATTTGAATCGATAATGGCCATGATATGGGTTTCATCCACTTCGACTGGGGGGCCAGATCGTTGTGAATTGTTCAGTGAAAAATCACCGGAACGAAATCTTTCAAACCAATTTCGACACTGCCTTTCTTTTAAGGCTTCATCTCCATTTACGGCACATAACTTCTTTTGTGCTTGCGATGCGTTCTTGCCTTTTCGGAAGTAATACAATAAAATGTGTCGGAAGTGCACTTCCTGTTCTTTCATTTTTAAATTGGGATAAAAACAAAACTAAAGAATTAAAAAAAAATTTTTACTAATTAACCTAGAAGTCCATACAGTAAGAAAAAAATATAGATTAGATGCTCTGGCCACGTTAACAAAACAAAAGAAAGTATAGAGTGAATCTGTCAACAAAAACGGCAATGACTTAGTTGCCCACCCAATACATGGGTGTTAACCTTTGTAGATGCTTATAGTCTTGGAGGTTTCGAAATAGTAAAATACACCGAAATAAAAAGGAGCATGTGATAAGGCAAAACTATCTCAATTTCCCCTAAATTAAACCAAACAATGACCCACGATTTAAGTACATTTTGATATATATGTAAAGTTTGCAACTAAACAGTTAACAAATAAGTGAAATTTTCAATAGTAAAAGTCAAATAAATAATATGTTTTTGATATAATGTAAGCAAAAGCCTTTTAGATTATTCAAAAGCCACAGAGTGGCACATTCCTTATTAGCACATCAAAATTGAAATCCTTTGACAAAAACTGCTTCATCCATTCACAGTTTTTAAAATTACTAAAATCTTTCCGATAACTATAAGTTCAATATTTCTGGACGATTCATATTTTAATGTCAAAAGGTCAGCACAAACAGCCACTAAAACACGCAAAAAACAACCAGAAGAATCGTTGAGGAGATACGTTGCCCTGCTGTACGGATCATTCCGTTCTACCAGTTTCAATGCGATGTCGCATAAAACCAATAACGTTTAGCACTTAGGAATACGTAAATAGATTAAATTTGTAAACTTTAGCAGTGCTACTCTTAAATTTTGCCCAATGACTGGGTTGTAAATCACAGACAGATAGTATGAATGTTTAGACGTGGAAGTCTTAATATATCAACTTTTTCAAATACACGGCGTTTTTAGAAACAATGAAAATAAAAGCAAATAATTTGCTCCCATCCTTCAGGGTAATGAAATTAAAATATTTAGCTAACATACAGTTAGCGTCATTGACAGAAGTTTTATCAAAACAAAATTAACCTCATATTCAACAAAAATGTAAATGTTGTTGTCAAAATCTAACAAAATGGGTGGAACGTCACAATATCGTATTTAAAATCGTTTAACATAATTAGATGTTTCAGTAAAAATAAATATAAATGGTTTTAAATTTACAAATTTGTATCAAGATTTTGGATTATTAAATCGTTTGAATTTACTTCATCACAAGGTAATTTTTAGGGCGGCGTAATTCATTAGTCCCTGGTAGACCTTGAGCTCTCTCACCGTGAGTGGTTAGTCTTAGCACTTAGTAAAAATTAATGAAATATGTTTCAAATAACATTTAGGATGAAAACTATCTTCACTAATCCAATAGTTTCTCACTACTATAATGATATCTCTATGATATTTTAAGTTATCAGCCAATATTTGCCGCCAGTTTTAATATAACTCACTTGGCCAACGTTGTTTGTATCTTTCAGCACACTTTTTATTACTCAAAATTAGCTCTGATCTCAATGGATGCAATAAGAAATGCCCTTGGTCTTTCACGCACTGATTGTGCTCTGGAATCTTTGGATCTAGAAGGCGTTGCAAATTTAATTAAAGAAGGCAAGGTACGCAATATAATCACCGCTGTTGGTGCCGGTATATCAACCTGTAAGTCTTCACGGTTTTAATCGTATTGGTAAATTGCCCAATTAATACTTGATGATTTTTATCCATTTTAAGCTGCTGGAATCCCTGACTTTCGTAGTCCTAGTACCGGAGTTTATGATAATTTAGAAGAGTTTGACCTTCCTAGTTCGATGGCTATCTTTGATATAGGCTACTTTCAAGTAAGGTCTTCAAATTTCACTAAAAAATTACTTTTAGCGTAATCCAAAACCATTTTTCGAGGTTGCTCGTAGACTTTATCGGCCATATGCGAAGGTTTGCTTTGACTAATTATTAATAAGGAAATAAACTCTTTAGCCCACAACAGCACATTATTTTATCAGACTTCTTGAAGAGAAGGGCTTACTTCTTCGACATTATACTCAAGTGAGCTGATTTTCATTCAATATCAATTTTCTCCTCAGAATGTAGATCAGCTTGAGCGTATATCAGGACTTCCAGAAGATAAATTGGTGGAGGCTCATGGTTCATTCCATACTGGTCATTGCTTGACCTGTCGCAAAGAATACCCCTTTGAGTATTTCAAAGCTCGAATTCTCGACAACGAGGTTCCAAAATGTTTATTACCACATTGTGGTGGTGTTGTTAAGCCTGGTTAGTCGAATTATATTTTTTCTAGCACTTTTGCAGATGTGGTGTTATTTGGCGAAGGTCTACCATGCAAATTTACGCAAGGCGTCAGCAAAGTATGTACTCTACTGAAATTCTTATAAGTAGTGTTTTGTCTTATCTCTTTTTCACTTATTTCTACCGTAGGATTTGCCCAAGTGTGACCTCCTTATTATAATTGGTACATCATTACAAGTACTTCCGTTCTGCGGAATCATTAACTGCACGCGAAAAGGCGTCCCTCGACTCTACTTAAATCGTGAATACACTTCTGGTTCAATATCGGTGAATTTTGTAGCACTTTTCTTGTCTGTTTCAGCTCAGTTCGTGCATAACCTTAGTGATAAGATTTTTGTAACTAAATAATTAATTTCACTCTTAATTTTACTGCAAAACAACTCCTTTAATCCTCTGTTCATGCTAAATCTCTAACTTGGTCATGGTATTGAAGTGGATTTCTTTGTGCGTGATCAGTATTGCTTGAAACTATGTGAATGTGAATATTTTTCTGAACGTGTCTCATGAGATTTATAAAGTCCTCCTCTCAAAGATTAAACGTATTACGTATGAAATCTCATGCTATATCTATTTTTTTTTGTATAAACAAAGACATTTAATCACAGGGTTTTTTAATGACTCGGTTACCCACATTTTTTTTGTAAAGTACTGATTCTTTTTATCACGAGAGATCCACATCAATGGAGTGAGGTTTTGCTTAATTTCTTTAAAATTCAATATATTCTTATTTCTTATGTATTGTACGGTAATAAAATACAAATCAGCCGTGTTTAAATTCTAATGTACCATACCAACAGAAGGCTAGTTCCTAACAATGGATCTTCTCTTTTTATTTATGACGCAAATTTTGAGATTTCTTGACTTCCTTAAGTTTAAAGTATATCACTTGATGATCACATCAAAGTGATCATGGCTTCCAATTTCAGTTGTAATTTATTGTTTTCGTATCGATCTCCTGTCAGTCTTTGAGCAATTTCGTGTTGGATAAAAATTTAACTAAAAATTATGCCTTTCTTGTTGGAAGTTGACATTGATTAATTGATTGATTGTCTGCCAAAACTGTTTCAGCTGAATCCTGAAAAGTGCGAAAATAGCCCATTTGAAAAAAACAGCATGAAGTCGTGTCTTTAATACTTCCGGAGGTATTAAGACCGTTTGGGGTGTCATTTATTGAGTAATCAGTTATATGGTAGTTGAGTCTGAAGAATTCTACCATCCTATTTACGCAAGGTATGAACTTTTATGTTTTTTTTGCTTTGGAAATACAGAATCTGGCCCTTTAGCAGCTAATCGAACATATGGGAAAACACGGTCTTGTCAAGACGTGTTCTCCCCCATAGAGTCTGTCGTATGGCATACTAGGCACATCGCTGCAAAAATGCCTTTAAGCCCTTTATTAATGAATGTCATTCTGTCTAACAGCGTATTTTAGTGCTATCTGTGTTTTCTACATACTTATAAATGTCAATGGTTCAGTTGTAGGTCAGGAAAATGGAGCTTGTCCACAGAAAAGCTGAGCTATTCCGTGATGGTTCCTTTGAGATCTATAGCATAACTAAGTGCTCTATCAATATTCACATTGAAAATAACCCGAAATTCATCTGATACATCACATTTTAAAGTGGGCTGACATAAGACCAAGGTGAGGTGTTCACAAACACACGAGGTTTCATTTAAATCGTCGTTCAAGTGTCTTATATTCATCAAATGCTTAAAGTATGGTGACTACCATTGTCACTATGTCACTACTCATCTGCATTTAGTCACTTTGTTTGGGGGTAATGGCAACAAAGCTGTCTACTTCTTTCTATTCTGTTTTAATATTATTAGTGTGTCTTCTTGCATTCCGATTAGATAGAGTTAAGTATCATTACATCGGATAATATTGAGGTGATGGGTTCGATACTTGTCGGTGAGAATATATATTTGTGCTAATTAAGTTTACATAGCCCCCAATCAGTTATTATTACAAAGTGGAGATGAACTCCACTAGGATAATTAACTTAAATTTTTATTAAATGTCGTTGCTTAAAGTCGAACTTTCTATGCTTGTAGGGCTTCGTTTCCTTCATAATGAAGTGGATGGTTGCTGGAATGAGGAGTAGACCCCTACAATGTGGAGTTCCAGGAAACAAGACAGATGTCTTTGTAAAGGGGGATGCGGATGAGTTATGTCTTCGATTTGCTGAACTCCTTGGTTGGAAGGTATGTCCACTATAAATGGCCTTATTATCCTGAAAGGGTGATCTACTGGTGTATTTTCAGTGATCTTCATAATTAACCGCATTGGTTTATATTTAATTTAGATAAAGACGACAAGATTCTAATTCAATGAAGTAGCAACTAGAATTCCGATCTTCTCTCCCTCAGTAGGCTCAGCCCTTATTATTTAGCAATATTTATATCAAATGGCAGGCGTTTGGATGGTTATCATTAGCCCTTTAGTTGACTTCGGGCTTCACAGAGGGGAAGGAACATCAAAGTGAGAAAAATTCAAGAGGGGGAGGGGGCCGAAGAGTGTATCAAAGACGAAAGTAGATAAGGTGGAAAAAGGTGGGATGAGAACTGTGAAAGAAGTCGAATATGACATACAGTGGGGTCATGGTAGTTTGAAGTCAACTGCCGATTTATAGACTTTTTTGCCGTATGAGTATACGTTGCCCAGGGTGCACCACGTGGAGGTAAGTCTATCGCACACCCCTTGTTTAGCAATATTAGTAGGCCAAAGTGAAAGCCTCGTCCTCTGAAGACTAGTGGACACAAAAAGTGGTATTTTATTGGGGTCTAGTTTGGGTAATGTTGAACGCAGTAACTTTCTAAAAGTTGGGCTTCATATATTTCTTCAGGTTAATATCTCTTAGTCTGTACTTTTAAGGTTTTCCCAGTGTCTGTACTTTTGTTTGCAGTCTGCTAAGTCGGATATGAACTCATTGTTAGGCCTGCGTAGTTTTTATCCAAAATTTTGGATCGCCTTTCTCCCCCCTACAAAACTCATCAAATATAGTTTTGCTTAAACGAATTGTATTTCAGTTTGCATTTTCATACGGTTTCTTTGTCGTCTTTTCAGCAGGTTCTCTTTTGTGCTTACTTGTCTGACATCCACTGTCTTTAAATTTCACATTCATTCACGAAAAATCGGACACTATGGTGGGGGGTCCACAGACTCATCTTCCTTTCACGCCCCCCCCCCACACCCCCCTATGTAACTGGAGTTCTTGTTCAATGATGCAAACAACCATTACCCCTTTTTGTCCACGATCGCCCACAGTTTTACTTCTGTATGCAGGAGGTTTGTTTACCTTAATCGCGATTAAGCCTATTAGCACAAGAGTTTATTTTTTATCTACATTAAATACTTTATGCCATCTATTTTGAGCCCTTTAATTGCCTTTTTATTCTCTAAGTCCCGACTTGATTCTCTAATTTAATAGCCCGATCAAGTTAGGATTTTAAAAATGGTTATTTTTAGGCATTAATAGACATCAACGGGCTATCCTGTGTAAGAGACTAAGAGTTGGATTGGTTAAATGGTATTAAATGAAAGAGTAAAGCATATGAAAAAGTTGAAAAGGGAATTGGATGGAAGGGCGACGCTGATTTTGAAGAACAAATATTGTTTATGCATGATACTTAGAAAGGTAAAAAGACGTGACTACGGTTTCGTGGACGAAAAAAACCTGCGTATTTTCATGAAGAATGTGATTGAAGTTTAATTTTTAGCAATTACATAGCTAGTCATCGTTAAACTTTTCTCTCTTTCCATTCAGGATGAACTTCTGAACCTGCAATCAACCAGGAATGCGGAATTAGATCGAGAATTCGAAGAGGAACGACAAAAATCCTCACATTAATCTGCGTTGTCTTTCACTTTCAAACTAAGGATAACTTATTTCTGTGTTGTTAATCATTTATTGACTTAATTCATTAGATTTGAAAATAAATTACTTTCATTTACCTTTAAACTAAGAGACTTTTTAATGATGTGTTAATGCAGTCTCTTTGTCTAGTTGTTCCCTCCCCCTCCGCCATATGACAAAATGTTCGATAAAATTAAAAAAAATGTATTGTTGAATGTAGCATTAAATGCAAACACGACTTTTGTTTCAACTTGCGTTCTTGTCATATCGTGATTTGGCATCGCGTTAAGAACATGGATCAATAAGTATTGATCTTAACGCCTTACACACATACTTAATTTCTGTCGTAAATATTATAGAAAGGCTGTTTGAATAGGCATTTGAAGTTGCTCTAATAGTCTATTTGGTTTCCTTTTGGAGTGACAACGGGTGAATTAATTTATTCAAACTCTGAACTTAATGTGACAGTAATGTTAGGATTTTTCAATGTTAGCACTACGATAAAAGAAATGTCGTGATTGGCAAATAAAAAAACGTGTTTATAAATTAAGAATTAATTCTCATTTCCTGAGGATATTCAATCTGGGTGAGATTAGTAAAAAGATTTCCAACGCAATAAAAATAGGGAAAAACGATTATCAAGAATGTTGATGATATTCTCTTTCATACCTTGTTAATGTAAATGACTCGATTCGTAAATTAATAAAAGTTTTTAAATTTCGCTTGATGCATGGCTCTGGCAGTTTAACACTCCCAAGTTTCAGACAATATCTGGCCTCAATTGTTAAACCAACGTGAATTGAGTGCAATGCTAGATTACACACATTTAAAGTTTTGTTTAAAAAGGGAACCAAGTTTTTGAACAAAGATGACTTCTCTTTCTAGACTTTGTCCAGCTCTTCCCATGCGGATGACAAGACCTTTAAATGTGCCGTTAATAGCTCACGTCAAGGGATCGCATGACTTTGACTGTATTAAGTAGAGGCTCAATAGGAAGAAAGGATAAGCCTACCTAAGCATCGATCTTTCTGATTTTATGAATTTCAGTACAAGCATGACAGAAAGGAGATAAGGCCTGTGGTTGGTAAACTGACATTAATAAATAAAAAGTGGGACTAAATCCTCCATGCCAGTAATAACCGCCCCCTTCGAAGAATATGACAAATATACCCGATTTATTTTAAATCTTGCCTAACTACCGAAAAGAAGACTAGCTTGAATTTACATTAAGGGACGTAATTCATCTACTGGAAACTAAACTGTTCAAACAATTTTCAACAAAAAAATCAATACAATCGCTGCAGCTAAACGATTGAATAGACAACTGCTTATTGCCTCAAATTGGAACTGCTTTAGAATTAGCCACCTAACATTAATATTCCACAATTTTCCTTGATAGAATGACACTCATTAATGCGATTCAAGGTCCATGATTTTATCTACCTTATTCAATAACAGTCAACGGACCTGTTTTGGCGTGGGAAGATTACTCACAAAGCACCACCTGTTAAAGCAGCGAGCGTAAGCTCTCCAAACTAACGCATTTATGTAAAGCCTGCATTAACCAATGGGATGCCAGAATAAACATGCACCAAGTAAGAGCTACTTATAGTAGTATATGGCACAGAAAATGAATTATTAAATAAAAGTAATAATCAAAATTTAATTAAATTTATCAAATTATTAAATAAATTTATACGTGATAATTTACATAAACATAAAAATTATTTGCTATTTAACTTAAATTTTAGGGTAGTTTATTATTTCTTATAACGAACTGTGAACGGCCATTGCAAGGCTAGCTCCGTTGACCGGGTTAATCGATGAATTACTTGGTTTTGTGAGCTCCATGGGGTAAGTTGGATTATCGGTAAATTATTGATTATTGATTTTTTACATTAGATTTAAATGTTTATTATTTTACAATGGATAATCGGCATCTGCAAAATGATCACAATAATTTAATATCTAACGGCCGGAATTCCTTGCCAGTTTCTTCTCACAAGGATAATTCACTGGACTCTATTTTTGTCACTGAAACTCGTTCAAACCCAACTGTTATTCCTACGCCAATGAATGTCAAGCTCCCTTCTGAATCCTTAAAAATAGATCCTGGACTAGAAACCCAGTTTTCGGGACTACAAACTGGACCTATTACTCTTGCAACCCTCCCAAATATTGCAATGAATTCCAATGACAAAATTAATGTGCAGGTTGGAGAATTAGAAAATATTCCGATTCTGAATGCTATCGATGGTCGGGGTGTTGATTTACAACCTCTGGGCGGCAACAATCAATCAATTCCGGGGGTTCAGATGGTCAAACTAACTTTCATTAACTGTGGAGATCAACAAACGATCCTTCTTACAACTCCTTCTGGACCTTTAAGTGGTTGGGACTCAGCTAATGAGGGCCTTACAATCACTATACCAGAAAATCTCCTTGGACCTTGTGAACTCAACCTGCCAGCACTAACTGCAGGTAATATTTCTCAATCCCAACCTCCTCAAATTGAAACTGATCCTCAGGCGATTTCCGATAAGGTCAATTTTGGTACCCTCAATCCCCTTCCTCCGATTACTTCCGTTTCGGATAAATTATACGCCCCTAAAGTTCCCACTAGTGCACCGTCGATGGTTGAATCAAATCAGAATTACGGCCTACCCGAACTTGTTCCTCTTCTTACCACGACTGCTAATGGTGATAAAATTAAATTAGAGAAGAGCGCCTCCAACACTAATGTTTTTCAGACCAATGCTGCTGATTTCTTTTCAAATTCAGTTCCAATTACCCTCAATTTGCCTGCTGAATCTTCTGTTTCTCTGATGGATTTTAATTCCGCACAGGAACTAAAGATCACTCGGCCCATCAGTCCAGGTAAGCTGGAGTTTTTCATCTTATACAATTTTCAGATGATGCTAGTCCACCTAGTAATAACGCCGATAATCTGAGTGATGCCGACCGTGACACTGCGAGTCCCGGTATCGACTGTCCTGAAATCAATACAAGAGTAATTTGCATTTCATTTGCGTTATGTCCATTACTGTTTATTAGGACTTAGCACAGCAGATTAGCAATGAATTAAAACGTCACAGTATTCCTCAAGCCGTTTTCGCTCAGAAAATTTTACATCGAAGTCAGGGCACACTTTCCGACCTTCTCCGAAATCCAAAACCTTGGAGTAAACTCAAATCAGGTCGAGAGACCTTCAAAAGAATGTACAAATGGCTTCATGAACCCCAGCATCAAAGAATGGCTGAATTAAAGGCTGCAAGTAAGCAGTGTCTTTTTTCGCCTTCTAACGCCAATCCCTATTTAGCCGCGGAATCTGATATCTACCCATCGAAACGCAAATCCACTGACATAAAGCCTGGTGAGGAGAAGTCCATGAAACGGCCTCGTTTGGTTTTCACTGATATTCAACGAAGAACTCTACACGCAATCTTCAAGGAAACAAAGCGACCTAGCAAGGAAATGCAGGTAACAATCGCTCAACAACTGGATTTAGAGGTTTCTACGGTTGCAAATTTCTTCATGAATGCTCGAAGGCGTTCAGTGGACAAGTGGCAAGATGATAGCGAAATTAGGCCAAATGATTCTCCCTCCCCGTCTCAAAGTATGGACGCCAGTTCAGCATCTCCTGCTCAACCCACTCAAGCTCCCCTCGCTTCAACGTCAAATCTCCAAAACATCTCTGTCTCTTCTGCCAATTCACTCGATCCTCTTTTGGCTTCCCAGGTTCTTCAGTCTGACAGTCTCCCTGACAATCCTCTTTCAACAAATGTTGATTTTAATGGCTCCCCCGCTCCCAGCTTAACATCAGATACTGTGGCAACCAGCAGTCTAACCATTCCAGGAAATGATCTCCCTACCCAGGTTATTGTTACCAACTCAACCTCTGTGGATACCACTAAGACAAACACTGTCCCACAGCTCCTGACGCATTCTGTTCAACTTCTTCCTGGAGGTCAGAGTGCGATCCTCATAAATACTCCTTTGGATGCTGGAGAGGTTGGAAATAACGGCGTGAGAGATGAATCAAACCCTCCTTCTGGAACGACTTGTCTTATTTCTGGAATTCCGGTCTCCTTAGATTCACTTTTCCCTACGACTTCCAATCCAGGTTCAAACATTTTCCAATCTGATCCTCCTCAAGATCCACCTAACCCTGGTTTAGTTCTCCCTTCTGCTTCTACTTTGATTGGCCATGATAGAACAACCACGCCCCTTCGACATATCAAAGCAGAAGGTTCTCAGACTCATGTAGCGATTCCCATTAGCCCAAAGAAGTAGTATAGCTTCCTTCCTTTTCTTCCTCATCTCGCTTTCTATAACCGCGATATAGTGACGATATATATTTATTTGTGTTGCTATCATCGTTGTATGTGCAATAACTACCGTCCATCTTATGTTTTCATTTGACGAAAGCTCGCTTCGTTTTCTTGTACAGTTATTATTTGCATATGTAGGGTTGACTTGTAAACAGACATTTCTCAAACACTTCGCTTACTGCGGCACTCATTTCCTCGGTAGTTTTAAATGCGTCTGTATGATGGTAACAATACTGAGGATGTGTATATTGGTTTGATTTTGATTCTCTTCCTTTGTAATAATATTGCTTGTTTCCTCCCCTCCTCTTAATAATACCTACGCTTCTCCCCACATCCTATAATGTTTTCCGTCTCCCTTTTCGAGCGATGTGACAAAGTATAGTATTGTTGATGACGAAGTGTCGACACGATACCTGTGTAAGTATCAGCATGGTTTCTCCTTTCATTAACTTTGCAACGAGCTTCTTTCGATTACTGAATCGATAAAATCGATGTTCTTAGTAGTATCGACTTCTCATTTGATTTTTCTTGGTTATTGTGGGTTGTGGGACAAAATCTCAAGTAGAAACTGAAAATAAAGTCAGGTCATCTAACAATCTTACCTTTGGGCGCCGGGACTCATGCGTTAACATCTGAACTCTTCGGTGAGTCGGTGTCCTGTTGCTTCCGGTCGCTGTGTCACGTCGATTCGCCTCGGTCTACCAGGGGGGGGGGGGCAAGTAAATGGACGGCAAGATTGGTGTTTTATTTGCAGATACGGAATTATCTGCTAATTTTACTGTTTCTACATTATTTGGAGAGCTTGTTGGGTTGGTCGTTTCTATGTGTGTTTAGTACTTATTTGCTGGATATTATCTTTGCGAAACGTTGTAGATTATCTTCAGTTCCACTACTTAGTTTCATAATTCATTAAACTTAAAATGAAGCACTTTGGAGTGCTGAAGTGGCTGGTGATAAAATTGGTAGCTTCTCGAGTTGGGCTCTCGATCCAGATATAGGAATGTTGAAACTATTTTATTTGATATACCTTGTTAGGTTCTGAAAATTGTTGAAATTTTCTTCAAAGAGAAAATGGAAGTAGAAGGAATTACGCATATCAAGATTATTCACGAGTTTGTGTATTCATGTGTTCAATAATTGTTGTCGATTTGGCTTGATTCTAATTGAGTGTTTCTAGGCTTAAGAGTCACGAACACAGATTAGGCTATTACCACCCAAAGCGGAAAGTCAGTGGCTGAGACTAGTAAAGGGTGGGGGGTGGGGTGGGGGGGGGGATGAGGGGCAAGTACGACGTGATGCAGGAAAATCGATTAAAGAACTCAGGATGGGGTCAAGCACCAAAAGGAAGTAGATAATTGAGCTAATTCGCTGAGTGAATTGGAGTTGAAAGTGTGTTAGGCATGAGGTAAATGTGTTATTTTCCAATGTCTTCTAAACGTTTTAATCATCGATATTTACCAACAACATTTCGCTGGCTCATTAGCTGTCAGTTTCACTGACCTTATCTGCTTATCGATTTAATATCTACCTTTTCCTTCATAACTCTATCTTAGTAGAGCCTTTGTCTCATTCTTACACTTCTGGATTTGCTCATAATTCAGTCACCCATGGAGTTTCCTTCAATTCACCATAAGATCCTTGGACCGATAAAAATTATCATGCCGTCGTACAAATTTACAATTGATCTCGTCCTTCACTTAAGCAAACAAACCGAACTAAACTAAACATAAATTTCCAGTTTAGTGCTTGTTTACTGATCGATATATTTAGGATAGACTTACCTCCACTTGGTGTACCCTGGGCAACGTATACTCATACGGCAAAAAAGTCTATTAACCCGCAGTTGACCTCTGATTTCAAACTACCATGACACCACTCACCTTTTTTCTACCTTTGTGTCTGTCTCTTTTACATCTATGAAACACTTCACTCTATGCCATATTTGACTATTTTCACAGTACTCACTACCTTTTTTCTACCTTTGTGTCTGTCTCTTTTACATCTTTTAAACACTCTTTTGTTGTATGTCATATTCAACTACTTCCACAATACTCACCTCACATTTTTTCTACCTTTGTGTCTGTCTCTTTTACACCTGTTAAACGCTATTCTGTTTCCATCCCCCTGTCGGCTTTTTTCACTTTGATGTTTCTTCCCCTCTGTGAAGCCTGAAGTCAACTAAAGGGTTTTTATGATTGTCGATGGCCCTATCGAATATATACCTCAGTAATTTGAAATCACTTCTCAATACCCTATGCGAAGCACATTTTCAGTTTACTCAAAAGTCCCATTCTATTATGGGCAGTAAGTTGCCTATGTTATCTTCGTTAAAGGAATTACACTATATGGCATTAACTACTAGGTGAAAAATCAAGTTATTGCTAATCCGATTAGGAGCTTTGAAGCACCAGACAAGGACAAATGTACTGAAGATAATATCGATAATAAAAAACAGCAACTGGGTTTTACGACATAGCCTAAAGGGGTATTTTGTCTCTGATATTTTGTAAGATTGCGTAATCGCTTAATTGACAATCGTTTATTAGATATCAGCATTATAAAAAAGGGAAGAGATTGGATTTTACTATGTAATTCTGGTTTTTATAGCACTATAGGTAGATGTTCTCGTTAATTTAAGTTTCTAGAGTTTTAAACTACTTCCACATATTAAAATGAAGCGTTTCTTGAATAGCAGCGACTAAAGTTCATTTTAAATATAAATTGTTAATATTGTTTGATTTTCTGCAGTTCTGGAATATTTTAGATATCGATTTAAAACTTTTCGACCAAAACTCAGAGGCAATATTCGATTTATTGATTGTAAATCAAAGATAGGTTTTGAGAAACTAGTCTAAACTAAAACTGCAAACATGAGTTCCATTTGTACTTTTAATAAAAGAGTACAAAAAAGAGTAACGTCAACTATTATGCTATAAAGCAATATTATTGCTAATAATACGGCATCCAGTTTTATTAAATCAGAAGTTCTCAGGTCCACTCTTCGACTTGTCTTACTCATTCTGCCACTCAACCCACTTATTTTATTTGCTCTTTCGCTTTCGGTTTATATGGGTGCACTCACTCCCATCTACCCTCTGTTACCCTTTTATACCCATTTGCTTATTCTATTTTCCACCTTCTTTGTGGGTCGTGTGCTGATAGAAGCACAAGATAAACTTGGCAACTACTAGACTGTCCAAAAAAGTGATTTAAACGGGAATAACAGACGTACGCAGGTCACTACAATTCCATCATCGTACGTAAATACTTAGTAACTATTTTAATCCCATACATTTGTACGTTCTCCACTATTGGATTTCTAATTTTAGAAAATTACAATTTCACAGATTTGTTTGATGTCCTTGGTGTGAGCACACGCGCAAGCGTAAAACTGCAAAAATACCAATGTAACCGTTAAGTTATAAAATATGAAAATTATTAACTATTCTAAAACGATTTTTTACGAATAAATATAAGGCCTAGTAAGAGAGAGCGATCTTTCTGATTTAAACTAAAACTTTCTTTATTTTACAATGCAATTATACGCAGCCAATTATTTATCGAAAATTTAGAAAGCATCAAAATACTGGCATTTTGTTTCTGCTTGAGAAACTTGTTCGTTTCAGGAATATCTACAGCAACAACTCAATATCGACCATGAGATACCAAAAGTAACCCTCACAGGGAGGGAGAGAGAGAGAGAGAGTCAGTCGTAAAATTAATGATGACTAAGTGCCGCTACTACTGAACTAGACAGTCCATCTTACTGGGAAGGCAGCGGCTGTGTAAATCAGACCAATGTGTAAAATATATGTGTATCGTGGTCCAGAGTGGGTCATCAGCCACAGAAAAAAAGTGATTCATCGACCGTGTGCACATTTAAAGGACTTGGCTCTCATGCAATGGCTTTGCTTGAATTAAATCTATTTTAAAATAAGCGTTTTGCAACTGAAATTCCATCCCACCGCTTTTCCATTTATTGCCAATTCGTCTTTGACCAAGCATGTGCAACAGGCATTTCCCTCAACTGCCAACTGACGACCTACCAGCTACCAGTTGTGTAAGAAGAAATTTGTCCAAAAGTTTTTGATGCAATTAAAAATGCAGCCAACCCACACTTTGGCCTTCTTTTCTATGGGCGCGTTACCGTTATTTAAAGGCCAAGTACAAAGCTAGCAGCAATGAAAACCCTAATTATATTACTAAAATTTCTAATTGACTTACTCAACCGAAATTTTCCTCAATCATAACTGATTAAGATTGGAAATATGAATCCACCTCCTATTATTAATTCTCAACTCATTCATAATAATGTTTTTCTTTTATTTCTTAAATTTAAGAGATAGAAATCGGTTTATAGGTTTCTTTTTGAATTCATGCGCTGTCGAATAGTCGTTTAAATTCAACAACAAAGCTTTCCAGAGTATGTTACTTTCCTCCTTGTAGCTCTCAAATGCTTTTATATGCTTGTTCATAATGGAAACCTATAATGGGAAACTATAGAAACACATTTCTTAGTGCCCCTTCCCATGATCATCCCTCAATTTGTCAACCCTTTCGGCCAGAATAAAGTGGTTTTTTGGGGAGGGGGGGGGGGGCATTCAAGTTTCAA